GGAATACAGGCATGAGCCATCACGCCCGGCGTGACATATTTCTAAGCTCAGCACCCAAGTGCTATGACTGTCCTAACTGGGCCCTCCCTACAAGGAGAATTGTGACATATTCCTGGGCCCAGTACTTAGGCCACATGACCCTCCTTTTTTACCTAGGCCCAGCCCACAAAAGTAATTGTGACATATCACTGGGCCCAGCATCCAAGAATTGTTATTCTTCTGCCTAGGCCCTGCCAACAGAGATACATTTCCCATATCCCTGCTTCAGCACTAGGTGATGTAACATGTTTTCTTGTCCACACCCACAGGTGTGATTTTGACATATACCTTTTCCTAGCATCTGAGTGATTTGCCTCTTTAGCCTGGGCTAATTCTACAAATAGAATTGTGACATATACCTGGCACAGGCACCTAGGTGATGTAATTCACGCCTTGGTGGTATCCTCAAAGGAGATTGTAATATATCACTGAACCAAGCACCTGGGGATGTGGCCCATGTCTTTTTCCCTGGGCCCTGCCCCAGTGGGGATTGTAAATTTCCTTGGGCACTGTATCCATGTGATGTGACTCTCTTGCCTGAGCTCTTCACACAGAGGCATTGTGACATCTCTGGGCCCATCCCTTAGATAGTGTAATTCTCCTTTTGTGCCCAAGTGCTGCCTTCAGGAGGGATCGTGACATATGCCTGGACCAAGCACCTGGGTGATGTGACACTCCTGCATGAGCCCTGCCCTAAGGGGATATTTTTACATGTTGCTGAACTCAGCCTCTAGGTGATGTGACTCTACTCTCCTGCCTGGACCCTGTCCACAGCGGGCACTGGAACATTTCACTTGGCTCAGCACCAAGAAGATGTTACTCTCCTACCTGGACCTCTCCTGCAGGGGACACCTAGATGATGTGATTTTTCTTCCTGGTTCCTGCCCAGAGTTCAAACTGGACATATACCTGGTCCCAAAACACAGGTAAGGTAATAACTCTCATACCTGGACAAAGACAATAGAGAGATTTTGACTCTTGTACCTAGGCTTGGAACAATGGTTACATATTCCTGGTCCAGCTCCCAGGTGATGCGACCCTCCTACCTGTGGTCAGTTCTCGCAGGTGGGATTGTGACCTATGTTTGGACTCAGCTCACAGGCGTGGTGATGACTCTCATACCTGGACTTAGCCAACAAAAAAGTTGACTCTTGTACCTCAAAATAGAAAATCAGGTAAGATCATGGGTCCATACCAGAATGAAGGTCTCAGATCTGATTGCAACTTTCATGCGTATCATATAAAGCTCTCCAGTGGTATACAGAGTGTCATAACAGAGCCCAGCACACAGCTATGATTGTGACCTGATCCTCATATGTACACCCAGGTGGCTGTAAGGATTGTTAAACTACCACATAAACACAGCCCACTGTCGAGGTTCTGAATTCATAACCAGAGACAGTCAAAAGTTGGAACTGTGACCCTGGTATGTGAATGCAGTCCACAGGCTGGATGGTGACTCATACCAGGATTAAACACACCTAATAGGCTGTGATTTTTCTACCAAGACACAGTGTGCAGGTGTGACTGGGGCTCTCATGCACAAACCAAATGCTGTGTAGAATGTGACTCATGTATTTGAACCCAACTCACGGGAGATGTTGACTCTCATACCTGGAGCTGAGATATGTGCTGGATTGTGAATCTCATGTCTGGATTTTACCAAAGGTGTGATTGTGACATATACCTTTGTCTAACATCTGAGTAAGGTGACTCTCATGTGTGGGCCCAGCATGCATCAGATGGGATTGTTACATACACCTGGGCCAAGCACTTAGGTGATGTGATTCTCCTGCCAGGGCGAGCCCTGTACTATGGAGGATTTTAACATATTGCTGTACTCAGCACCTAGGTGATGTGATTTTTCTTCCTGGTTCCTGCCCAGAGTTCAAATTGTGACATATATCTGGGCTCAAAACACAGGTAAGGTAATAACTCTCATACCTGGACCAAGACAATAGAGAGATTTTGCCTCTTGTAGATAAGCTTAGAACAATGGGTGTGCCCAGGGTCTCCTACTTGTACAAAGTACACAGAAGATTATGACACTAACAGATATCATATAAAGCCTTCATGTTGTACACAGAGTGTCACAGCAGGGCTTAACACAGAGATAAGATTACTCCTCTCCTATGCACACCCAGCTGACAGGATTGTCACCCTCACACACGGACAGAGACCAATGGTGAGATCCTGAATCTCAGTTGTGGGCAGAGTCTAGAGTTGGAATTGTGCCTATTGTGTGTAGATCCAGTCACAGATAAGATGGTGACTCATTT